AGAAATGCAGCACGAAATGCGCAGATTCTCCTGGGGGAATACCGCAAGCGTGTTTTGGTCACAGCTGCTGATAGGAACTTGCCTAGCATTACTGTCGAAAAGTCTGCTGCCTGGTTCAGATTGATGCAGTCCTACATGCCAAGATGCCTGGCGAGAGAACATATTCAAGGGTAAACTGAACATGAACTGTTTGTTTGAGTTTTGCATAAACTGTGTCATTGCAGTACGTACTATTTAATAGCTTGGTCGTCGGGACCTTATACCACCCCCCAAGTGCTGACGACTCCGCAATGCTGGATTATTTATCCAACTGTCTCTCTACATTGGAATCATGCTATCCTAATTGTGGTTTTATTATTCTGGGCGACTTTAATCAGTTAAATATCAACCGATTAAAACTAAGCTATAACCTACGTCAACTTGTTAACTTTCCAACACGTGGCAGAAATACTGTTGATCTCGTCTTGACAAATCTTTACGAATACTACGATCAACCGGTAAAGTATGCACCATTCGGTCTCTCTGATCATATGTCTGTAGAATTTAAACCAAAAGAACGATGTCAACCCCAAAGAGAGCAGAAAAGAGTGGTGAAGAAAAGCGATCTACGTCCGAGCTCCCGTCTTGCATTCCGTAAATATTTGGAACTGTTGGACATTCCCAGCATGTTTGACAAAGCCCCTTCTTGCACAGAAAAAATCTCCCTTTTGGAAACCATTGTAACTACTGGTCTGGATTATATTCTCCCACTGCGCTCAATTACATCTCGGTATAATGAACCTCCCTGGATGAACTCAAAATTATCATTATTAATTAAGAAACGCCAGAAAGCTCTTAACCAAGGAAATATTACCCAATTCAAGTATTGAGAAATAAAGTAAACCGCAAAAGGAAAAGTTGTCGTGCGAAGCATTATGAAAATAGTATTCAACATCTTAAAGAATGTAAACCATCCTCTTGGTGGAATGAGATTAAGAAGCTCAGTGGAGCAAAATCTACTAGCGGAAATAACGAAGAAATCCTTAAAGCCTTAAGACCTGATGAACACCTTACGGAAACAGATAAAGTAGATATTGCAAACGAGATAAATGATTCTTTTCTTTCCCCAATGGCTGAATTTACTCCTCTCACTCCAGAGAATTACCAAGATCTGTTATTTGGCGCAGCTAATGATTCTACTGTTACAATTGCTGCAGGAGACGTATTTAAAAAACTGTCAACGCTTAATCCAAGGAAAGCCCACGGCCCTGATGGAATACCAACATGGGTGTTAAAAGAGAATGCTGATTTATTGGAACTTCCAGTCAAAGAGATCCTAGATAGTTCTTACCGCGAATGCCGTATTCCACAATCTTGGAAAGAGGCCGACATTATTGCTATCCCTAAAAAGAAACCTAAACTGACATTAATAACAACCTACGTCCAATATCATTAACACCTATTTTATCAAAACTGGCCGAAGAATTCGTGGTTGAACAACACCTAAAACCTGCGGTACTAGCCACAATTGATAAAAGGCAATTCGGATCCATCCCGAATTCAAGCACTACGTATGCCCTTATCAGCATGTTGCATTTTTGGAATAAAAACACGGACGGAAATGGCTCTACAATCAGAATTATGCTTTTTGACTTTCGTAAAGCTTTCGACATGATAGATCATCATATCCTCGCACGAAAACTGTTAAAATACAACATCCCAAAACCTATATTGCATTGGATCTTAGACTTCCTCACTGATCGCAGTCAGAGAGTTAAACTTAGTGATGACTGTTTTTCCGAGTGGAAGGCTGTGCCAGCGGGTGTCCCCCAGGGGACAAAATTAGGCCCTTGGCTTTTCTTAATCATGATGGACGACCTTGATGTTGCTGACAACAAGAACCTATGGAAATACGTAGACGATTCAACTATGTCTGAAATCATAAATAAAGATCAACCTAGTATAATGCAAGCGTATGTCAACGAATTCTCTTCAAAATCCAGAAGTGATGGTATGCAGTTAAAAGAGTCCAAATGCAAGGAACTTCGAATAAGTTTCTCAACTGTAAAGAGAGAGTTTGATCCTATTATTATCAACGACAAAAACATCGAAGTAGTCCAGTGTGAAAAACTACTCGGTCTAACCATCTCCGACAACCTCAAATGGAATAAACATATTGAGACTGTATGCAAGAAGATTTCAACTCGTCTATACTTCTTGCGACAATTGAAACGGGCTAAGTTACCGTCCAAGGATCTTCTCTTGTTCTATGTTACTTGTATTCGGCCGGTTGCTGAATACGCGTGCGAAGTATTCCACGATTCCCTTACAAAATACCTGTCAGACGATCTCGAAAGATTACAACGCCGAGCTTGCAGAATAATCCTCCCCGAACATTCATATGAGGACGCACTTAATCAACTAGGTCTCTTGTCATTGTACGATCGAAGACAAAATTTGACCGATAAACTTTTTCAGCAAATTGTTAATGATCCGCAAGACAAATTACACCATTTATTACCAGCATTAAATTTATCTGAGGCATCTCTGAGAGAAAAAAGAATATTTCAAGTTCCAAACTGTAAAACAATTAGATTTAAAAACGATTTTATCAATTTCAATTCTAGTAAATATGTATAATATATCTGAGTCACTAAATAATGTAAATAGATAGTTTTACCAATTGAACCTCCACTTTTATGGATTTTAATAACATAGATCATATTCTTTGTAAGACTAAAGGTTTTTCAGCCGGAGCCTATGGCCGAGGCTGCAAGTTTTAAGTCAATAAACCATCTATCTATCTATCTATCTACACTAGCTTGAGTGAAAATATAGTGTGGTCGAATGTACATGTAAGCAATATTGTACAAAAAGTTAATACTCCTACTGTTGCGTTAAATTTACAATACAATGTTATTCAAATGATATGTGTAATACACGTTATTCATCACTCTTTTTCCTTTAATGAAGGGCAAATGCTGTATATTTGAAAACTGAGCAGGCAAAACATGTGCTTAAACGGCATGCTAGACAGTTCAAACGCATTTATACGCTGGCATAGACGCACTGTAGTCTATAATACTCATTGATCCAATGAGGTAATTTTAGGAAAATTTTCCATTTTTAAACTTCTAGTTAAGCAGCTCATACTTTTTATCATAAGCAACAGTGTGTCGGGTACTTAAACTAATTACGCCCACGTGATTGGCATAAAATAATAAAAAATTGTAAAATATTTGAGGAAATGATTGACTACAAACCCTCTCCAAGTACTTACCGCGACGCTTTGTCTATCTCTAAGATGCTGACTGAGTTGAAAGATCGTGTTTTGATTAATTATTGCACTATATATAGTATACTGCCACGGTAATATAGGTTTTGTTAAAGGGCTCACTTTGCGAATGGGTTAATTATCTTCTAGACCTTTCGTTTTGCAAATAGCTACATGTCCGATAATAACAGAGATAAGATACGTATCGACATATCGACAGGAAACGTAAACACCTTTTACTCGGTTCCTGGATAAGGGTTATTTTATATTTTACTGGTGCTGTTTTTTTGTAAATAATTCAATTCATTTTTTATATGAGCGTTTTGTGTAGGTAAACTCAAATTGAAGCAAAATACATATATAAATAGTTTCATAAAATTAATGCAATCATGTTTATTTATTATGAAAACAAAATATATTTACTGTAATATACTAACATCCCAATACCTAAAGCTGTATGCATACATACATGCAGGTGTACTGAAACCTACTCAGAAGATATTGCCAGGGCATATATACCTATATAGTTAAACTGAGTCAACTCCCTAATCCCATTATTGGAAAGAACTACTCATTTTGGCAATATTTTCAGCCTTGTTTATGGATAATACTGCATCGTGCTTTTCCTCTCGCCCCTCTGGCAGTTGAGTTCTTGGCTTCATGCCCCCTTGTTTGTCATGATTTTGCAATAATGCAGTGCGAACAGTGAAAAGACATCGGAGTCTGTATCATGATAACGGCATGCTAGACACTTCAAACGCATTTATATGCTAGCATAGACGCGCTGTAGTCTATATACCCATTGATCCAATGACATAATTTTATGAAAATTTTCCATTTTTAAACTTCTAGTTAAGCAGCTCATACTTTTTATCATAAGCAACAGTGTGTCGGGTACCTAAACTGATGTCGCCCACGTGATTGCAAAAAATAATAAGAAATTGTAAAATATTTGAGGAATGATTGACTATACATGTTATTTTTCTGGTGCATAAATATACTATCTATCGGATGTTGTTTTGCATTTTGTAGCATTCTGTTGCAAGTGCATGGCTTAATTGCTCTTTTACTCCTGTGAAGAATATGCCGACAAAAGAAAAAGCTTTTATCGCAAGACAATCAAGTTATATATTGAAACGTGCTTCGGATTCCTAGCTTGCAAGGTAACTAATCAACCCTTTCCAAATACTCACCGCGACGCTTTGTTGCGGTCTATCTCTAAGATGCCGACTGAGTTGAAAGATCGTGTTTTGATTAATTATTGCACTATATATAGTATACTGCCACTGTAATGTTAAAGGGCTGACCTTGCGAATGGGTTAATTATCTTCTAGACCTTTAGTTTTGCAAATACATGTCCGATAATAACAGGGATAAGATACATATCGACATATCGACAGGAAACGTAAATACCTTTTACTCGGTTCCTGGATAAGGGTTATTTTATATTTTACTGGTGCTGTTTTTTTGTAAATAATTCAATTCATTTTTTATATGGGCCATAATGTGCAACGCCAATAAGTATGCGATGCTCTATTGGATGCGTCAAATAACTTTTACTTTTCACAAAACAACTGTGTGTATTGTTTTTCAAATTAATTGCCTATTGTCTCCATGAAGACACAAACACCCACGCGGCGACAGTTACATAACTTGCTATATTGGAATACGAAGTTGGGTTTTGCTGAAAATGCCTTTAAGTATCATGACTTCAAAAGAATTGCGACAGATCTGACTCTCGCTAAATCCTTGACGTATCGTTTTGATCAAACTTTCTACTCCATATTGCTTTTTCGGGTCTTGTTCGACGAGGAAGATGTAAATATACCGTAAGTAAATTGTTTATGTCTACATTTTAATTTATGTGACCTTTATCTTATTCCCACCGTATTTCAACCGCAAGTTACAACACATTTTATTGCAGATCTATTGTAAATTGTTGCTTACCTTAAAACATTATTCCTATTTCGTTAAATCACCCTTCAAGTTGTGTCCTTTCTTAGTAATGTCATTAAACGTATGTAGATTTTCAAGCATTTTAGACAGTGTAAAGACGCACGAACATATAGTTTAAATATCCAACAAAATCTACAGGTGGAAGCGTGCCAACGTGGTGAAAATTGCCTAAAATAAGCAAAATTACTTTTCGCGACATTTCGGTCTTCTTCAGAAAAGTTAGGCCTGACAAGTGACCTTGGGTCAAAACGGCAACCAATATTTTAGATAAAAAAATATAATCATTGAAATATGAAATTTGATAAAATTGAAATACGACAGACTCATTCTCATGTAGTCCGGCTTCAAAACGGAGATTTTCGGATTTGCTATAGATTACATTTTATTTAATATAACCAGCGGAACAGCGTGACAACGCTATAAAACAATTTCCCATTGAGCGTGGTATATAGGCAAAGCCTGAGATATAGCCAAATAATTTCTCAATATTTTGACCTCGGACCTTTTGTCATGCAGCAGAGTTTGTAGGAGTTATTCCTACTAACTCTCATGACGAAGGCACTTATTGGTTGAAATATCGAGAGGTGTTTTTACAAATTTGAGGAAGTTATTATTCCACGTATACATATGATGAACACTGCAGACATTAGTGCGTATGAGGTTTCAACCCAAAAATCTAATCACTGGTTCACAATTTCTGCATTGTCCGTTTGATGCGATGATATTTAAATTTGTATTTGTATTATAAGATTGTCGTCTGGTATTGGTTATTTATCATCTTTGCATGGCATGCATGCTTGATTAAAGTATTATCATTGATTCATGCTACATCATCTACTTCAATGATGTAGTTCCCAAATCAATAATTGTTTTTTAACTGGCTAATGAAGAGGAAGCTTTAACAGCTGTATATTATAGACGAAGAATAAATTAGAAAATTTTGAGTTTGTTGAATTTTATGTACAAGATTCACAATACAATGGAGTGATTTGAAAACATGGAGACAATTATACATGTTTCTTTCAAGTCATATTTTTTCTTCCAACATGTCTTTTAGTACATATACACGAAGGGAACAAACGGTAAAGATAGCTGATGTTAAATAGGAGATGCTATGGAACACTTCGAAGAAACGGAATCAATTAAAAATTCACCTGAAACAGGCGACATTGAAAAACGTGAGGAGGAAACGAACCGTGATTTCGAGAATGGTAGGGGCCTATGAAATGTAATTCTACATGTTTACTAATTCTATATCACTATATGTATATCACGGCTAGCCATTGTCGTGCATTCAACATAGATTGGTGTAAAGTAGCTATTACGCTATTTTGTAACTTGTGGTGAGCAGATATAATCTCAAACGCCATATAATTTCGGATCTTTTTAAAGCGCATGAAAACGAAATGAGTCATTTCATTCATTGAGAATACATAAGAATAAGTACAAATGTATAATTCTTTACGCCAGGGAAATAAAAATTGAAACATTCCAAAATCATTACCAAAGATTAGTGACAAAATGGCTGTTGTTTGTGCAATAATGTGGATTTAATTCACCCATGCATGTATCGAGTCTCACTATAAAGTATGTTGATTAAAGTTCTGCATTGTGTTTTGTCATCGAACGTATAAAATCAATTACTAATATTTCCGTTTGGATATCACATTTTAATGCATTGGTTTTTCTTGTGACACTGGTTAGGTTACTTGATAAAAAAATTGCTGAAATTTAGCAGCTTTTTTTCCCTCTGAACATAAAATCCAGCTTATATTCGTTTAGAACAATAGTGAACAAAAATACTCTCACTGTTGATGATATTTTAAGAAATATAGTGATTCAAAATAATGTAAAACAGGCTGTTAGTTTACGTTATGGAATGTACCTCGTCTTTAAAATTATTTATAATCTAATCACGCAATTCAACCATGCGAAGCCTATAGCTTTAGACGGTTTTCATTTCATGCATCGATATTTTAAAGAAAATTAATAAATTTAATGTTCTGATGAACAGCGATACCTTCAAGTGTTACACTAACATAGCTGTTTTGATGTCATTTGACGTCAGTTGGCCAAATCAAAATGTTGAAACGTGGCCAGAAGCACTAACAGCACAGGAGAGAATATATGCGTACTAAAGTACAAATTTGTGAAATTAAGGAGAGCGAAATAATTATATAAAAGCAGCATAGGACTTTAGTAAAGTGCTATAACAAAATAACTAGATGTTGGCGCGATAATTAAATGTTTACTCTAGTCAAAATGTGAAATATCACAGTAATCTAACGTGCTCATTTTGTGCGTTTTCTAATATTCTGTCTGTCACACAAGCAACACACCTTATTACTTTACATTTTTGGATCAAATGTTGACGGTGTTTATTGCAGTATACTCGAGCCAGACTCGTTTCCCGCGTCCAATTCTGTAGTAACATGTTTAATCGATTTACACAGTTTAAAACCATTTCGCGAAAACATGAGTTTAATTACCTTGAGCCTGCGATCACATGAAGCTGCGGTTTCGCTTATGATGACATGATATTCAGCTCCGGGTTCGCGAAAACGGAGCTGGCTCCGGATTCGAGCGAACCCGGAGCTGGAGTGGCTAGTTTTCATACAAACCGATGTGGCCGCATCGCTTTTATTGCAAATCGAAAAATTTAAAAAGGCCATTTTTCTTTATTATATTATCAATATCATAGCCGTAAATTAAAGTTTTATTTCATTCAGTTTGCTCGCAATAGCTCCGTCAAGTTGGCTATTTTTGCGCAAAGTTGATTGGTCAGCGGCACGGGCGACCGCCAGGATTTATAAAAGTTCGATTTACTAGCTTTACGAAGAGTTTTTGTAAAATCGAAAATATGGCCATTCGAGAGAAAGCGTATGAGAATATCCTTATACTTCTAACTTTCTTTGGTTAGAAACCACGACAGACAACTTCTGTAAAGTCTAGCTGTCTGATTTAAACCACGCACTCGTGGCAAAAATTTAATCCCTTCGCGAAGGCAACTAACCCGGTTACTGCAAATTTTCGTTTTTCCAAATAGCTTTATTGAACTATGAATGTCATATAATCAATGCTATATAACAAATATTAGAATACACTAAGCAAAAAAAATATCTCTTCTATCTGTAATATGCTACGGAAACAACACCGTCAAAGAAGTGTACACAAAGCGGCTCAAATTGACGAACGGCCTTTGCATGTTAAGTACGCTTTTTATCGCCGAGATTTTCTCGCTGATTTCTTCTCTGATTTGACTTTAAATAAAATTCTAAAAGATGGCCATTTGAGATTTACATTCATACTCTTTCACCACAAAGATTTGAGGTTTTAGGATTTGTATCCAGTGAGCACAACTCCTGAGAGTACAAGCCGTCAGAATTCTGTCACGACCCGACATCATTAACATTACAACCCAGTGGAAACAACGGTCAACCACCGTGTTTAAAGCAAATTCACGCTTTAGCGCGGACAAGGCTGTTAAACCATAATCTCGTTTTGGGGTTGTTGTCGACAATGTTTTGGGATCTCATGAGTTGTCGCCGCTGCATGTTAATCCAAAGCCTTTTATTCTTTTATAAAATAGCGGTATGAATATAAATCTAAAATGGCCATCTTAGAATTTTATATAAAGTCAAAACAGCGCTAGATCTGCGAAACAATCCGAGTGATGTTCAGCTTACTTGACATATTTCTGACGTTTGAGAACTTGAGCCGTTTTTAAGACCATCGTTTAGCGATGCTGTTTGCGCCGTGTACTACAGGCAGTAAAGATATTTTTAGCGTAAAGCATTCAAATGATGGCTAAAAATAATAATATGGCGTTTATGGTTTACCAGCGTTGCCCGCTAAAGCGTGAATTTGCTTTAAACACGGTGGTTGTGTCCACCGGGTTGTAATGTTAATGATGTCGGGTCGTGACAGAATTCTGACGGCTTGTACTCTCAGGAGTTGTGCTCACGGGATACGAATTCTAAAACCTAAAATCTTTGTGGTGAAAGAGTATGAATGTAAATCTCAAATGGCCATCCTTTAGAATTTTATTTAAAGTTAATCAGAGAATAAATCAGCGAAAAAATCTCGGCGATGAAAAGCGTACTTAACATGCAATGGCCGTTCGTACTTCGTCGCTTTGAGCAGTTTTGTGTACACTTGTTTGACGGTGTTGTTTCCGTAGCATATTACAGGTAGAAGAGATATTTTTTGCTTAGAGTACTCAAATAATTGTCAGCATTGATGATAAGACATTTACAGTTCAATAAACCAATGTGGGAAAACGAAAATTTGCAGAAACCGGGTTAGTTGTCTTCGCGAAGGGATTAAATTTATGCCACGAGTGCGTGCATGAAATCAGACGGCTAGATTTTACAGAAGTTGTCTGTCGTGATTTCGCAAGCTAGAAGGTTAGAAGTATAAGGATATTCTCATAAGCTTTCTCTCGAATGGCCAGCTTTTATTTTTTTTACAAAAACTCTTCGTAAAGCTAGTAAATCGAAATTTTATAAAGCCTGGCGGTCGCCCGTGCCGCTGACCAGTCAAATTTGCGCAAAAAATAGCCAACTTTACGGAGCTATTGCATGCAAACTAAATGAAATAAAACTTTAATTTACGGCTATATGTTCTTAATAATATAACAAAGAAAAATGGCCTTTTTAAAAGCGAAGCGGCCACATCGGTTTTTATGAAAACTAGTCACTCCAGCTCCGCCACTCGAATCCGGAGCCAGCTCCATTTTCGCGAACCCGGAGCCACGAACCCGGAGCTGAATATCCTGTCATTCGCTTATGTCAAGGTTTTCTGCCCACTCGATTACCAAAGAGTTGCCCAACCGGCTGTTATGTTGAACAAAGGGTCGAAAAATAATGACCAATGTCCAGCACATCGGCGATTCAAAGTTTTGCACTTTTTCCCTATGTATTTTACAGTAAAAGTTGAAGGCCATCATTTTTGGTAAAATACCTCAAAAGTTTAATTCGGGTTTGGAAAAACATCATGTCTCCAAACTGCCTATAGAATTTTTGGTTATACAGCAGAAGACTAAGTTTCATATTCTGTTTTTAAACTTATTAGAAAAAGCCATACACGGCGTCCCTGGTGATCTCACGAAACATTTACTGAAACAATCTGATCAAGCTTCAGAAACATTGACAACACCTAACATTGCAGCTCAAATAGAAAACACACCAGATAAGAACGCACAAACACCTACTCCGAGGTATAATTTAAAACATGCGCGAACAATCGATAACCAAACACTAACCGGTACAGAATTAAAGTCCAAGCATGAAATACCTAAGTATATTTTTGAGGCGTTAATGATAGGTAACTACCAGGTGCGTGAATTTAAATTGAAAGCACAAAATTTAAATAAAAGTAATAACGACAGTGACTCGAAAGAAAGCGAACATGAAGAGTTCCAAGAGGACGATGTCAATCCTATGGATGCAATACTTGATTTATTTCAACGTTCCGATGATTCTTTGAGACGTTATCTTGTCAATAAATTATCTGCATGTCAACTCAGCGTCCCTTTTCTTCTCCCTGACCCCGAAGCACCCTTCGAAAACGTCACAATTCTGTTATCAGCGTTAGAGAACATCACTAAGTGCTGGAAAGATGGGACCTGCACAAAACAAGTGTTTGCGACAGAACATCCATTTCCAGTGGTTTCTTTCATTCGAATTGGAAAAGTTACCATTTCTAAATCCATGTTGATTAACAAAATCATGAGTGACGGAGACAGTTACCATGACTACTTCTTTCACAGAAACATGCAAGGTGGCGACATTGAGAGGAAACAAATCGATGGATTGGTTGAGTTGAGCTGGTTTCTTCCTGGAAGGAGTGAGAATCAAACATTAAAACAGGAAATTTGTCTCGCAAATCTTCGAGGAGACGCCAGACGTTTTAAGAAGCAGCTTGACGTTCTTTTAACGCTATCATCTGCCCTATGTATCTTATTGGCTTCAGATTATCGAGACGTTGAAATGTGCAGTGAAACCGTTCCGATAGACTGTTTGGAAAAAGTAGCATCGCAATTTAAAGGAAATATCATCCTAATTTTCTACGAAAAGATAACACCAGCCAGTGCGAAGGAATATTTTGACGATATAAAAAATACACACCAGGAGAAGTTGTCCTTAATAGCCCAAGGTAAAAACATACAAGAGGATCGGTTTTACCAAAGAATAAGAGAACATATTCAGAAAAGTATAAATGAACAGGAAGCATCGCCACTAGTAGAGCTAGTGCCTGATCTGGTCGAATGCGATATTCACCCGCCCAACGTTTCTCGACAATTAGAATTCAGGTGGTTAGAAGTGGAAATTGAAAACGCCGAAAACCTTCTCAAATTGCAACAGCATATCCCAAAATTAGCAGAATTGGAACGTAGAAAATATCGCCTGAGCAGGAATTCCACAGAAAGCGATTATATGATAAAAATTAAAGAAGACATCGCTAAAGAAGTCATGGCTCAGAAAGAAACCTTTCAACAGCTGGATGAACAGCTTATTCACTTTTTAAATGACATCACAACGATGGATGAAACTGAACGAAATTACACCTTGCATAAGTTAAAACATCATTTCGAAAAAATTTCGGTTCAAGCCATGGCAAAAATTCCTAATAAATCTGAGGCGCTGATCGAACTTCCAAAAGAGAAAAAGGAAGCACCTCAAGGCTTTGACGTACAGCCAAATCTGAATCATTTGCAATCAAAGACGAAACGCTCGTTTGGTTTAGAACACATCAACAGAGAGCTCGCTCAGTTATACCAGCTTGGAGAAAGTAAATACGACTATGCAGGCGCTGCTGCAGATATGTTGCTTTCAGGATATCCTCTTGAGATACTGGATGGCGATTCCTTTTACATTCCTCTGGAATGGTTCAATGCTGTGTACACCAGACTGGAAAAGAAAACAAACAACGCAAAAATATTTGTAATTTCAGTTATTGGACTTCAAAATTCAGGTAAGTGTACAATGTTAAACACGATGTTTGGTCTCGAATCTCCGGTCAATACAACAAGGTCTACTCATGGCGCTTTTGCTAGCCTCATTCCTGTTGGTGATTCTCTTAAGTTCGACTCAAAGTTTGATTATGTTTTGATCATTGATACTGAAGGCCTCGGAGAAACCGAAGATACCCTGATGCGGGAAGATGATAATGCATTAGCATTATTCGCAATTGGTGTTGCCGATTTAACCATTGTGAATGTAATTAGTCAAAATCAAACGACTATTTTTGGAATAGTTGAATTATTGGAAATAGCTGTAAATGCTTTCTTAAAAAATAACTTACTAACAGAAAAGAAAAAGATATTTTGCGTAGTAGTCCACCAAAATGCGGCAGCTGCGGATCCAGGAGATAAATTTACCATGAAACCTTTCAACTTTTTGAAGAAGCATCTTGACAGGTGTATCCAAGAATGTTGTGGACCGAAATTCCCAATATTTGATGACATAATTTCATTTGATTTAAACGAGGACGTGTTTGATATGCCAAGCCTTCCACGCGAAAGTCAACCAATAGCTCCAATAAACCCTGAATATAGAAGAGCAGTTCAAATGTTGAAAGAAAACATCATGAAACGGATGTGTTTAAAAGAAAGTTTAAAACTTTCAATTTCTCAATTTCGAGAAAGAGTATGCAATTTGTGGGAAGATGCGCTAACCGAAAATAGTTTGCGTAATAGCTTTAGAGCTTACTTGTCACTCAATAGTAAATATTTCCACGAATTCGTAAAATTTGTGGTTATAGAAATGAAGGAACTTCAGGTGGGTATTGAAATAGCTCTAGAGGAATGCAAAACGGAAGAGGAACGTGAAGAAAAATTGAAGAAGAGCAAGGAACAGGTAGAAGGCAAAGCAAAAAAACTCGAAGATGACATAAAAGAGACAATGGATGAATTTTTAAAAACTAGCGAGCACCGGGCAATTCTTGAAAAGTGGAGAGAAAAACTTATGAGAGATATCGAATATCAGACAACAGAAAAAGTGTCCGAGGTGAATAAACATTGCACATCAACCCTGAATTATGCGCGTAATTTACAAGATATCAAACAAAAGAAAATTATCTGTCAAAAAAATCTTCGAGAAAAAGCTAAGAACCTCGTCAAGTCTGCCCACAACGAGGAGAAACTCATAAAGGATGACCTATTCAAAGGAGAATGGCAAAAGTTGAATAGATCCGTTCCCGAGAATAATGTTGAAATGTTGAACGTTGAAAAAGAGATCAATGATGAAATGGTAAACGTTCTTTGCATGGATCCTGTTCTAAATGAGAAAATGAAAGAAAAAATACAGCAACAGGGATATAATATATCAAACTTTAAAGAAAGTGCCCCAATAATTCATGACGATCAACTTATTTATAATTTTGGGGATGACCAATTAGCGTTTGAGGAAAATTCAGAAAAGATTAAGCAACAATGTTGTTTTAGCGCCAGAAGAATACAGAAATTTGCAGAAGAGAACGGACGTGACTTTGCGAAGAAGACTTTACGGTCAGAATCATACACACATGCACGGGAAAACCTGATACAAATGTATCAAAAAGTTATCTCGACCATAGACGAAGAAACAATGGAGACCCTTTTTAAATTCGGCAACTCGCTAAAATGTGATACCTTGCTAAATTCATTTGCTAATAACCGTAAAACTTTTGTTGAGAGAGAGGAACGCTTTCGTCAAAAACGAGACATTGGAACCGAAGTGGCTGCTCTGAAACCAGAGTTGAATACATATTTTGAAAATATTTTCACAAATACGAAAAAGGAAATTTCAGCAGCTGACTCACTTGTTAAAGATCTCGAAACCTCGATTAAATCAACACTAAACGACACCATGGGTCAAACAATAGCAGATGAAATGCTGAAGGAAAGCATGTACAAGAGCAAAAGCCACTTCCATGCATATGTCCTTATTGAACTTGGGGAGAAATGTACTTTTGAATCGTACAAACCATATCTAGAAAATCCAGCTAGCTTTTTAAAGACGAAGCTAGAGAAGACTATGCAAGAGTACAGTCGAACATCTACATTACGTGAAGAAAAAATCGAATATTTAAGACAGGAAATTCTTCAAGCTATTGGAAATGCAAACAAAGAAACGAGGACTGAGAGCAAGAAACCGTTAATTTGGATTCAAAGCTTTGAAGAACAGTGCCACCAAATACTAAATATAAATAAGGAAACTTTTGCAAAAGGTGTAAAAGAAATTGCAAAAGAAGATCTAGAAGAATTTTATGTGTTTCAGAACGAAGTCCAAGATAAGATAGAGGAATCTATACGAAATTTGATCAAGTGCAGTTTAGATCCTGAGACAATTCTAAATTGGAATCTATCAGCAAGTGATGTTTTATTGGGCAAAATAATGGGCTGTCAAAGTGTTTGCCCATTTTGCAAAGCTTTGTGCGACAAAGACCATGAAAATCATCAAGAAAAGCACTCCGCCTTATTTCATCGTCCACAGGGAATAACTGGCTCCAAGGATAAAAAAACACGAAAATTACGCACCAATATTTGCCAAAAGAACGTTGCCAGTAATAAGAAGTTTTCGAACCCCGATATACCTGGGAGACAGCATCGTTACAAAGACTTTCAGTCGGTAAACGACTATTATAAATCTTGGTTAATCCCAGGAAATAAATCATCGAAAACGCCAAAGTACTTCAAATGGTTTATGGCAACTTTCTCGCAAGATTTGGCAGCTCACTACAATGCCAGAGAGCCAAAAGTCCCAAGAGCGTGGAAGCGAGTTACGTTCAAGAAGGCAAAAGCAAAACTTCAACGGCAATACAAGTTGCCAAATACACGTTGACAAATCGTCGTCTAACAAATCGAAATGATTTTTACAATATGACCAATTTTTAATAACAGCATGTAGTTAAACCTTCCACATGCAAAATTAACATAGAACTTTCCTATTAATACGAGATCCTATTTTCTTCACTATGGGTAAGGTCATCCAGACATTTTCATCCTAATACATTTTTGCTGGTTGATAAATACATTTTTTCCAATATAAAAAATATTTTTCCATCATTTGCTTTGTAAATCTAACCTATATTATATGATGAAATAATGGGTACTACTTTTAATAAACGCTGGATATAAAACATTGATCATAGAAGATAATCTTTATGTCTTATCTAAAATTCCAATATTAAAAGTATTCCTAAACTGATCGAACGAATCATGATTAAATACTAGCTATAGCAAATCTGTGCCACGAACACATTCTGCATAATATACCAATTACCAAACATGCAACAGAACAAGCGCACTTATGCAAATTAGTACATATAAAGTCCTTGGTCAGATCAAACTTATTTTACTGGTCTAAAAGTTGGATGTTTCACAAACAAGCAGTTCAGCTGTTTCTGGTGAAAAGTAAATGGGATGAAGAAAAACAGCTGGATTCTTTCACATGGATGCCGAGGTTATGGAATGAAGAGTTGAAAAAGGCATCAACATGTTATCAGCCAAAATTCTTGTTGTACTTTTTAGTTCAAATGTACGCATAAGCACAGTCCTACATAATTTAAGACGTTTCGATAATTTTATATCAACTATTATTGATCATTATTAACGTTGTTTTAAAATGGTCGAATGAAACTCAAAATGCAACTTCAACATTCACAACAGTTATGCAATTTATATAACTTGGGGAATTAAAAAAGTTGCTTCGTTTTATTTCATTGATTTTGCTGTCACATTCGTTCGAATATCTCACCCAACCGGAAGACTCCATCAATGGAATTTTCCAGCAGAACTGCATGTCAAAGCTATAAATTATATCAATTCGCATGTGAAAAATTTGACGATTTTTTATGTTACGTTTGTCCTATCACAGCACATTGAAACAATTTATGACGTATGTTTGAACGTCGTTCTTCAAGGCAGAATAACGAACAAATTTAAATGGTGATTATATCTATTATTGTCAAGTGTTTATATTAACCAAGTTGACTGGATCGAAACCGTAAAGGAAAGAGAAAAGTTCCAAAAAACCCTCAGTCAAAAGAATTACATGGAAAGAAAGGTATATGGTGTTACAGAGTCTGCGATGAATCATCGAACTGCTGGGAACTTCATTTTTCTGGAGTTATAATCGAAGATTGGTATATCGATATATATGTATATATATTGCTGTAAGCTTAAGCTGAATTTTACCTCGAGAACAGTGTGTTCGCAAGATTGAGAGTGTCAAAAACATGAATTCACATCACAAAAAGCACGGGACGTACTGGACATTGCTCCTTTTTGAAAAGTTAAGATGAATGTCACTGGTATAGCAGAAGATTAAAATGCAATACGCGTTTTTCTACCAAAAAAGAAAATGGCTACAAAATAAAAACGTAAACTATGCAAAGAATAAGGAAAGCGCAGGCAGCTTCTTCAACATTCAATTTGATCAGAAGAGTAAAATTTAATATCTGTGAACCTATGAGGAATGTTCTCCAAAGCATTCCGAAAGTTCCTTGTTAGCTGTGATTTATGGTCATTGTCGTTACGAGTTAGCCCGTGGCTGTAAAAACTGAAAAGTATATTTTTTGGGTATAACTGTTTCATTGTTTGGTAGTCTCTGCTGGAAACATTCTATTTCATTGCGGTGAAAAATAATGTCATATTCCAAGCGTGGAAATGATATTCAATATCAGTAAACATCGACATATTGAAACTTAATAAGTAATTGAAAATCAATTAAAAATTTCGCGGAGTGGGAATTGGCTGAGGTCCTTTTATACTGTAACTTAAATAATTATATTCAGCAATGTGATGTGATAGCAAAACTCGATGCCCATAAAATAACGATTTCGATTTATTTAAAATTTTATATGGATTTTGATGCATTTAATTTAAGACATCACAGGCACCATTAAGGCCATATGTTATACAATTTTTCTTGTAGCTTGTAATGGAAATTTTCTTTTTGAGTTATGTGAATTACGCCGCTATTAGGAAACTTTTGTTAACATCACATTGCGCTGATGCTATTTACACATACATTTTAAAACTCTTAACTAATTGCAAGTCCCAAAATAAGAACTGCATTTCAAGTTACAAATAAAATTGTATCTGGCAACACGGCCTTACTTAAATAAGCCTGTTTTGCAACTGGATGAACACCGGTTTTATAAAAAGTCTATTATCTTTTTGCCATAACTGTTGTCTTTACGCAAAGATTAGCTGTACATGCTAAACCAGGTTCAGAAGTTTCATATTTCACAAATATACATTAATTGCACTGTGGGTATATCTATAATATATCTTAAATATTATGCACCATTTGTACTGCTACATGTTTTATAAATTTAATCATGCGTCAGTCGCTGTTTATGCAGTTGTACGTAAATCACGAGTCCTCTTTTATCTTTATGATAGGCTACAATCAATAACTTGAAAACATTCTAGCTTTCTACGTAACATATTAACTTTTCAATGTAAGCTAACATCACTTACGATTAATATATATTCATAACGTGCATTGGGTTGTCCTTAATGGCTAGTCATAGTCGCGTTTGTGCATTGCTTTCTGCTGAACAATAAACGGGGAACCTGATTAAAATTTATTTCAATTTCGCTGGTATGTTCATGTTTTTCTTAACATAGACTCTAGCTTCCATGTTCAGATAACGTGTTTTGAAATGTTAGGATTGGGGGTGTCATGTGATATGAACAACTTATATTTAAGGAGAAAACATTTTCCGTGTTTGTGAGGGAGTTCGAGTTCTCCCACAATTGTTTCTATATACAGTTATAGAAACACGCTTCTCGACCAATCATTACGCGCGTACTATAAATGTTATATTATGAAATATAATAAAACCGTTCATGGCCATAGGATTTTTTCTAAACTTAAGACAGTATGATAAAAAATTTAAGCTCGGGCATAGTTCATAAAAAATCATCGAAGTATTAATATCCTATATACTAGAGAAATTTTAACCGCAAAAATTCGAAAAAATATAGAATTTCATTCCAACCAAATCGCTATCCTCGTTTTGCGAAGGCCCTCATTTCGAAATTTTTGAATAATGGTCATTTTGGGAAAAGTTCCCCAGTTTCTTACCGTTCTGCTGATTCCTTTTAATTTTCAGTTCGATTTGTTGGCGGTTTAACCTACACATAAACCAACACCGCCTGATACATATTTTTACATGAATGTGGTTGAAATCAGAAGACTTTTTAAATAAGACATTCAATCCAACTTTTTAAGTGTTTACGCTATAGCTGTTTGCATTAGTATTAGAAGGTGACTTTTACAAGATAATGCAAAAGTAATAAATGACAATTTAGGGATTCTCTCGACATTTTTTATTGCAATATTTTTTTCAAAATTTCGAAATGCGTGATATATTCCAGTCGGGCATCTTTATCAAATAAAGCCGTCTTACAGGTGAATGCTTTTCCTCAAACAGTATAAAAGAAAAGGTTACGTTTGCCTACAAAAATCAAAATACAATCGTAGTTATTATAATCTAGAAACAAACGGAATTTATCCCATGCATAATATGCATTAAATACAAATATTGCGATACTGAATTTACCATTTATACATATTGAAAAATAATAGTTGAGCAACATTCACTATCCGCAATAGGGTTGCGTCATGGCTCGGTATTTCTTTGGAAAATAATTATTTGAATTACCTTCTACAAACACAAGTATGCCAACAGTTACGTAACTCTCATCGCCAAGCAAAGCAACAGATTTTGGCCAACAAGTCTTTGTTACGCTCTGTATAAAGTGTAAATGAATAATTTTGATTTTTGAAGATATGAAATCCAAAAAGACGTTGTATTTCGATCAAATTTTGCTCCGTTTTTATAACCGATCAGCACGAGAACTTGAAAATGCAGTAAACATGTTTAGTAACTATTATATTGATAAAGTAGCTTCTGGACGTTTCCAGGCAATAGATTTCGACAAAATACCTTTATAAGTTCATAAAAAAGAAAAGTTATTTCTTACATTTTAGGCAGTTGAGATTGATAACATGCAATTGCAATTAAAGATAACTGATGCTGTATATTACCATATTATTTTTAACTTAGCATCAAAAGTGGTATGTGAAGACGCTTACTCCACCCAATAGCTAAGAGTAAAAGCTTAGGGTGCCGAACAATAAAAGTGCACTGCTTTGATGTTATAACGATAAACGAACTATACAGTTATGTACCTACATACAAAGAACGAAAGAAACATATATCCCTCATTTTCGAGCTGTCTTAATTGCATGGGTAAGCAATTACAATATAGCCATACCTGTATACCGAGAAGGAACCCACTTTAGTCTTTAGAAAGTTCACAAAGTAATAGTTCGGTTAAATGAACTCTGGAGAAACCTCTGCATTGCAGTTATGATAAGAATAATATGCTATCGACCTGCATGTGAGACAGAATTTATAGATATAAGAAAACATCTTTTCAGACGTTAACGTTAACTTGGGCTATTTTGGCGGACAGTGATTAAAAACGTGAACGGGGTGTTTGTGTACATTACGGAGTGTAACCAACGTATGATTTTTTAGCAACAGTTAACATCCATGCTCAATACAAAATTAAGCCGTCAGAGTCATATAATATACCCCTATAAGGCTTTGAAATACATTCAGCGAACTCTATGAAGACGGAGAGTTTGGATTATATGGCCTCCTTTCGTTGCAGATAATTTTTCTTTATTGCTGCAAGCAATTTTAAACTGGTATTGTACCATGCAGTATCCTCTAATGGACCTTTTGCGTAATAGACCAACTTACGATCTAGGTATCAAGAAAATAAATCACCACAGCTAAAAAGAGCATACCGAAATTAGTATAATTGCCAGGTTCGGAAATAGCGATGCAAAGTAGCCAATTTTGCATACGTTTTTACTACGCCAGAATTGTCTAACTAATTTAGTTACACACTTCTTGCCGTAGTAAAAAAAGTATACAAAATTGCCAACTTCACATGGCTATATTTTTCGTACTTTACTATATTTTGCAGCCAAACTTGGTAATTTCACTAAATTTAGTAAATTGTAGTAGCACTTTTCGGAAATTTCCTTTTTGAGGCCTAAATTAAAAGTTGCCCCATTCATATTTGTAGATAACTTTGAACAAGGGACAACAATGGAAAATCTCGAAGAAACGGGATCAAATTCAAATTTTGAAAAATCAGAGTATCCTGCGGAAAATAAAGAAATTGAAAAACCTGACAAAAAAACGGCAATTGATCTTAATAATGGTACGGAAAAAATTGTATGTAATTATAGCCTACGACAGTCAAACATGATATTCGTCAATTTGAAGTTGGCATTCCGTGTCGTTCGCGTCTGTTTTATGTGTGAAGACTTTTTTATGCTAACAAAGTATAGTAGCCGTTTTTTTTCAAAAATATTTTCAATTATTTGTGGGAGATTTGCAAAAGTAAAGAATGGGTGTATAGATATTATCAGGGAAGAAAAAATCTCTCTTAAACTTCAGGTACCTCTGCTATAGAAAAATCAGAAAATCCGGGATTCACATTATCATGCATGGTACAACCCTTAGCTCAATTTTTGTGATTTAGGTTTCAGGTGTTTACTATTAAAGGACAATATAGTGGGGTTTTAATAGAGCCGTTAAAACAAGTTTAAGATAACCCAACAAGGACAATTTTAAGGACAAAACAGTACAGAGAGAACTAGAGACAGTGCGACGTCACGATCTAACTGATAGTTAGCAAGGAGTAAAAAGAATTGAGAGGAATAGAGTTGCCTTAAATATTAAGAGAAAGCTCGAGAGTGGTGATGATTGGACTATTTTGAATTTGGCTAAGTCCGGCACGTCTCTGGCAATAGGATTGATTTGGGATTGCTGCTCTTGGAAACATGACGATATTTTTGAAACAGCAAAAGATAAATCAAATCCTTTACTCCTTATATACTCCACAACATGATATTATCTCATCATCAACGTTTCACCGTCAGATCAGCCCTGATGAAGACACTTGACTGGAGTGTCGAAACGTTGCGTCGAGAATGTAATCTTTGTGTGGTGATTAAATTTATTTTTTAAAATAAGAGTACCGATAATTCATAATACTGTTTACATGCTTTCCTTTCTACGTGTATAGAAGGACCGTTTGAAGAAACGGAATCAAAGTTAAACAGTAATGTGGACTCGGGGGGAAATGAGAATCCAGCTGAAGACAAAATGAAAATATCCGATGAAAAAACAACTGATGCTTCAGGTAATTGTATGAAGTGTAAATTTCTTCCTATGGCGTGTACATTCTCTGTGGCCAGCACTCAAAAGCAGTGATGTCTACCTACGAAAGGGATATAGCTAAAACACTTGTGCACCTAACACATATTTTATCTACCCCATGCTGGTAAGAGGCTATAGAGTGCTTGCCATCGGAATAGGTCCGTTAGGCCGAATGGATCCATTTGACACTTAAATGTCCACTGGATATTGCATTTGTCCACTGGATCCAATGGACGAAAGGAATATCCAATCATACATACATGCATATATAATACTTTATTTTCGTCAGCAATGCTATTTTTAACGAGGGGCGTATTTACATTAAAAATATACAAACAATAGATTACGTAGAACGTACTGTACAGCAGTATGATCATTATTTTATATATGTAGATGAATTTAATATTATCACGTCTCATGTCCCAAAGGGGGCTACAGTAATCAAAATACGGTTGCACCAGAGCATTATATATCAGCTTGAGTATTTCCAGAGGTGCAAAAGGCTTCGTCTTTCTCATAACTCCAATTCCAGCCCCAACCTTGGCACAAATCTGATCTATATGTTTTTCGCAAAGAAGCTGTTCGTCTATGTCAACCCAAGCATATCGTTTTCCGTTCTGGGAACTGGTGTGTTATTCATTAAAATTGGGGTCTGAGCAATTTTATTCTTAATGTTAAAAGATGATCCGATAAACATGTGTTTTGTCTTTCGACATTTCCAATGGGTTTTGCATGGCATTTGTTTTTGAAAAGCATTAAGATACAATATGTAATTGAAAATAACAGTAAATGCAATGTCTTAATATCACTGAATAATATTTTCAGTACTTAAGCATGCAATGATCGAAGGAAGGCTAATGGACATCTATGCTAAAAAGTACAATCGTACGTAGAGTTATTACATATATAAGTAGTTATTATATATATATATATATATATATATATATATATATATATATATATATAAATATATATATATATATATATATATATATATATATATATATATATAAGTTCCAATATAACCAAGAAGCAGCGTGGCAGCGTCTTCAAACAACTTAGCACAAAATGTGGTATAACAACTGCCTAAAATAGACAAAACACTTCTCGACGTTTCGACCTGAGGGCCATATATATTATAATTCCCACCGCGGTCAAGTAGAATTTTCTGCTTGCCCGGTTGGTTATACTTGTGTGGAAGAACAAATACACCTTACATATATATCCACAAGTGAACACATGGCTGAAATAGAGCAAAACACACACACACACATATATATATATATATTATATATATATATATATATATATATATATATATACATATATATATATATATATATATATATATATATATATATATATATATATATATATATATAACCCGCGACCTTCGCAATTCTAGAACGATCCTCTACCGTCTGAGCTAGAAGGCCAAGTTGGGAACGACTGTGAAGGTCGCGGGTTCGATTCCCACCGCGGTCAAGCAGAATTCTCTGCTTGCCCGGTTGGTTATACTTGTGTAGAAGAACATATAAAACATATATTACATATAACCCCACAAGTTGAACACATGGCGCAAACAAGAGTAATATATATATATATATATATATATATATATATATATATATATATATATATATATATATATATATATATATATATATATATATATAGGCAAAAATGTTCTCCGTGTTTACTATACTCACCCTTGACGGGCATATTCAAACCTAAGAATGTAAATTTGTCCCTTTCCCTCACCAGCTCACTCGTTAAGAGTGCCTAGGCCTTGGGACCCTAGGAGGCGGTTTAAAAGGAGAAAGGAACACACACACAGCCCAAGCCATACGTCCATCCAAAGCGTTCATCGGCTTGAATGTGAGAGATCGATTTTACGTATTTATTTTACGTATGATAAATACGTAAAATCGATCTCTCACATTCAAGCCGATGAACGCTTTGGATGGACGTATGGCTTGGGCTGTGTGTGTGTTCCTTTCTCCTTTTAAACCGCCTCCTAGGGTCCCAAGGCCTAGGCACTCTTAACGAGTGAGCTGGTGAGGGAAAGGGACAAATTTACATTCTTAGGTTTGAATATGCCCGTCAAGGGTGAGTATAGTAAACACGTAGAACATTTTTGCCTATATTATTACCTGTGTTGCAACTCCAAATTTATTTTGGAGCAAATCATGTTCAATATATATATATATATATATATATATATATATATATATAATTATATATATATATATTTATCACATACTTGTGCCTTTATCAGGGCGATAACAGGGTGACACTGATAAAAACGATATCGTCACTGATATCGCTTTTTGTCACTGATATCGCTTTTTGTCCCGCTGCATTTGCCGCTGTCAAAACAAAGATGGCTGACTCGAGCAGTTCGAGGTTTGTTTCAGTCGATGTCGATTGCTTTATAGAAGAAAAAGAAGTATGTGATAAACAGGTTATCAAAATTGGGACAAGGTGATATCAGTTTTAGATAAAACTGATATCACCTCGCCCCTCATGTGATAACCTATACATATACATATATATATATATATATATATATTAATATATATATATATATATATATATATATATATGCAATTTCTAATATAGCTATACGTGAAGACGACAGAACGTGATAATATAGCAAAGATTGACTTAAACCACTATCTAACGTCATCCGTATTACTTCAGCTTACAACGGTGATTTGAGTTTCCGTACGATAATTCGTACGGAAACTCAAATCACGTAAAAAGTACAAATTTGAGAAATGCAAAGATCTCAGTATATTCAATTCTTTAAAGCAAAGCAAGTATCTTAGTTTTAGGCATTTTAGTTATCTTAGGTATTTTTATCCTCTTATTTATACCTGCAGAAAGAGATGCAACTACGGGACAGTTTGAAAAAACGGAATCAGAGTTAAACAGTAATGTGGACTCGGGCGATAACCAGAATCCAGCAAAAGAAAAAATTAAAAAAATTGATGAAAAAACAAATGCTGCTTCAGGTAATTGTATAAATTGTAAATTTCTTTTTGTGTTGTCGACAGCCTGTAATTCATCATTTAAGCAGAAAGATATACCTACGAAAATTATATGCGCTTAACACGTAAAGTTGTATTGCTCAGTTTTTGGGTTGAAAAGTTTTGATACATGAAAGTTGATACATGAAATGAATTAGCCTCATTTTGAAGTGCGAGTTTACTTATAGCAGGTAAACATAAACAAATACAAGCTGAGTCATGTCAAAGAAAAAAACCCTCAAAATCATTTTAAAACTTGTGATTTGTAAATAGTTATTTCCTGAAAAAAATCGTAAGATAATGATATATTTTTTCATCAATTTGAATTACTCGAAAGAATTTTAACTACTTTCTATACTAAAGCACACAACTAAGTCCTATATTCTGTTTCTTACCGCAGGAAAAACCGTAAATGTCTCTGGCGGCATCGTGAAACATTCATCTTCTGTATCAAAAAAGAATGATCAACCCGAACAATCTTCAAAGGTTTGGTCAACCCGAACAATCTTCAAAGGTAAAACCACAGCTCAACTAACAAATACAGGAGATAAAAACGGAAAAACAGATACTTCTAAGTACAATTTAAAACATGCCCGAACAATTGATAACCACACACTAATCGATAAAGATTTAACCTCTGAAGATAACATACCTAATTATGTTTTTCAAAACTTAATAATAGGCAATTATCATGTACGCGAATTTGAATTTAAACCATCAAATTTAAATGAAAATTTTAACGAAGGTAGTTATGACTCGGATAAGATTGAAGATGTTCAAGAAGTCAATCCGATGGATGCAATACTTGATATATTTCGGCGCTCAGATGACTCTCTACAACGTTATCTCAATATTAAATTATCTTCGTGTCAACTCAGTGTCCCCTTTCTCCTCCCCGACCCTGAGATGCCTTCTGAAAACGTAGTATATCTGCTGCCGGCGTTAAGGAACATCACTAAGTGCTGGAAAGATGGGACCTGCACAAAACAAGTGTTTGCGACAGAGCATCCGTTTCCAGTGGTTTCTTTTATCCGAATTGGCGAACCTACCATGTCAAAATCATTGTTGATTAACAAAATCATGAGTGACGGAGACAGTTACCATGACTACTTCTTCCACAAAGACATGAAAGGTGGCCATGTTGAAAGAAAATTCGTGGATGGTTTGGTTGAGTTGAGTTGGTTTCTTCCCGGAGGGAGTGAGAAACAAACATTACGAAGTGAAATTTGTTTTGCAAATCTTCGCGGAGATGCCAAAAGTTTAAAGAAGCAGCTTGACGTCCTCTTAAAGATTTCCTCCGTGTTATGTATCTTATTGCCTTCTAATTATCCAAACGAAACCGATAAGACCATCCCGAAAGATTTTTTGCAAGAAGCTTTGCCTGTTAAAGGAAAAACCATCCTTATTTTTAACGATGAGACAAAACAAACTAATGCAAAGGAATATTTCAAAGAACTGAATTCTAAAAACCATAAAAAGTTTTTTTCTATTACGAAAGCCAAGGAAAAAAATGAAGATCGATTTCTTAAGAGAATACGGAATAAAATCCAGACAAGCATAAATGGAGAGGAAGCATCACCTCTTTTAGAACTGACACATCTTAGCGAAGATGACACTGGCGTTGATGACGTCCACCATCAATTCGAATTGGCCTGGTTAATGGACTTGGGAATTGAAGAGGCTAAACACTATCTGAAATTACAAAGACACATCCCAGTATTGGCGAATTTAGAACGTGAAAAATATTGTCCAAGACAATCCAAAACTGGTCATATGAATCGAGATACAGATGAAATTGATGACGATATTGCCAAAGAGAAGATGGCTCAGAAAGAAAGCTTTCAACAGCTGGATGAAGGACTTCATAACTATTTCAAAGACATTGCAGTGATGGAACAACCTTCACGGGATAACGCCCTGAATATCTTGAAGCATCATTTGGATAAAATGTCTCTGCAAAGTATGGACAAATTGCAACAGGACTACTGTAAATCCATGCTTGATCTTCGAGAGAATAGAGAACGAATGCCACAGAAGTCAGACACACAATCGTCCGAGATGCAACATTTGAAACAGTTGGGAGAGTCAATTTCAACATTCTCGTTCGGTTTTGAACACATCATCAGAGAACTTGCCCAGATATACGATATTCAAGAAGAAAATTACGACTATGCAGGTGCTGCGGCAGACATGTTGCTTTCAGGATATCCTCTTGAAATATTGGATGGTGATTCCTCTTACATTCCATTGCGTTGGTTTAATGCTGTGTATACTAAACTAGAGCAAAAAACAAAAAATGCAAAAATGTTTGTAATATCGGTTGTAGGAATTCAAAGTTCAGGAAAGTCTACAATGTTAAACACGATGTTTGGTTTAGAATTTCCAGTTAGTGCTGGCAGGTGTACTCGTGGCGTTTTTGTATGTCTTCTTCCTGTTAGTGATTCTCTTAAGTCAGCTTCAAAATTCGACTATGTTTTGATCGTTGATACTGAAGGTCTGGATGGCTCCACAGATCCCCTGATTCGACAGCACGACAATGAGTTGGCAATATTCGCAATTGGCATTGCCGATTTAGCCATAATGAATGTCTTCAGTGAAAATCAAAGTATGATAAGACAATTCTTGGAAATAGCCGTACATGCTTTTTTGAAGATGAAGCTTGTCGATAAAAAGAAATTTTGCAAAATTGTCCACCAAAATGTCAATGTTTCCCATGCAAGAGGAAGATTAGTTGCCAACCGTTCTATTCTAAGACAATGGCTGGATGAAATGACGAGACGTGTCGCAACTCATGAAAAAATTGAAGGCAAATTTAACAAATTTAAAGATGTCATTTCATTCAATGAAGACGAAGATGTGTTCTACTTACCATCCATGTTGAAAGGCAATCCGCCAATGGCTCCATTGAACCCTGATTATGGAAAGGCTATTCAAAAATTAAAGGAAGACATAATTCGCTTGATGTGCAATTCAGAAAAATGTCATCCTCATCCTGTATCACAATTTCGAAAGAGAGTCAACGATCTTTGGGAAGCCATTTTAAAGGAAAATTTTATATTTAGTCTCCGTAAATCGATTGAAACTAGCGCCCGCATGTCTTTAGACCGAAAATATTTAGAGGAGTCTATTGCTGTTATGATGACAGGGATGGCCGAGCTTGAACATGAAATTGTGGTATCTCTGAAAAGATGCTCGACCGAAAATGAACGGGAGGCGAAATGGGCTGACGGTCAAAAAGAAATAAGTAAAGTAGCTGAAGAACTTGAAAGAACACTGTTAGAAGCAATGAATGACTTCCTTGAAACGAGCGAACATACGAACACGCTTAAACAGTGGAAATCAGACGTACAGACTAAAGTTAAAGAAGAGAAGGAAATTCGTATCTCCAAGGTAACAAAGAACTGCTCATCAACCTTTAAACACCTGCAATCTGTACAAGATAATACACATAAAAAATTGAAATGCGAAGAGAAGCTTATAGAAAAAGCAAAGGAATTCATTACTTCAGGTCTTGTTCCTGAAGACGAACGAAAATTGAAAGAAACTTTCGAATCGCGTTGGCAGATCTGGATTAAAAGCATTCAAGATCCTCTGGAAAGAAAAATTGATACCAACGAAGAAAAAGTGAAGAAATATGTCACAACGAAGAAGTCCAGTGAAGAAGCAGCGATGATAGAAATTAAACGGCAGAACGAAAAAATAAATGTTGATGATCTTGAATATAGCACACAGCTTACCAAACATTTTTCTCGCGAAAAAAATAAATGTCTTTCCCGTGCTGAAGAAATCAAGAAAGCTGCTATAAAAAAGGCACTTGATTTTGCGAAAACGTCGCCTGAATCAACCCTAAACAACGATCACCTGGAGGAAATAGAAAAAAAATTGTATGCCACTCTTGATGAAGGCACTAAAGAACTTCCCTTCAAATTTAAAAAGTCAACAAAATGTCATATCTTGCATCAAACATTTTGCGAAGCTATAAAATTTTTTCATGACACGGAAGACATTAGGAAGCAGATCGAAAAGGACTTTCAACCAGAATTGGAAGTGTATTTGATAAATGTTTGCAGGAAAATGGGAAACGAAATGTTAGCTGCTACTTCTTTTGTCCACGTACTTCAAAACCAAATTGAATCAAAGCTGAATTGCATTATGGGCTCTGTTGTTGCAAAGGAAATATCAAAAAAGGAAGAGTTTCAAAATAAAGCGCAATTTCATGTCAGAGTCCTAATTCAGCTTGGAGAGGAGGGTAATTTTGAATCATACACTTCTTATTTTCAAAATCCACATGGATTTCTGAAAGAAAAATTAACGGAATCAATTGTAAACTACTGTTCGGAAACAATCCATCTCAGAATCGACTCACTTCACCGACTGGAAATCGAAAAGATCGAAACCGTAGTTTTGAATGCCATTTCAATTCTCAGCAATGGAATAAAAACAGAAAACAAAAAACTCAGTTTTTGGATTCAAAGATTTGTTGAAGAATGCTCTTGCATCGCTCTAAAAAAGGAAATGTTCTGTGTGGCTACAATTGAAGATCTGCAAAACATGGAATTGTTTCTGGTTGAAGTTCGCAAAAAGATCAATCAAATTTTCAAATCATTAAAATCCCAGAACTTGTTAATGAATGCTGAAACTTTTCACAAATGGAATCCATCGCCAGTCGATTGTCTCGTGGACACCTTGTTTCCTTGCGCTAGTACTTGCCCGTTCTGCGAAACTATATGTGATAATACCATTCTGAATCATGAAGTTCACTTTGCACTATCTCATCGCCCCCTATGTATTATTGGCTCCAAAAACGAAAATACACAAATATTAATTACTGATATTTGCACAAAAACGGTCGCCGGAAAAAAAAAATTTCGAAACATGGAGACACACTGGGAAGGGAAACGTTACAAGGATTATCAGTCGGTAAATGACCATTATAAATCCTGGAATATTTGCCCCGATTCAACATCAAAACCAAGCATGTATTGGAAATGGTTTATGGGAAAGTTTTCAAAGGAATTATCAGAATACTACGGAGGCAAACTACCAACCTTCCCAAAATTTGGAAAGCATCTTACGTTCGACAAGGTAAAAGAACAACTTCAAAAGGAATTCAATCTGTAGATATCTTTCAGGTAACGTATTATCAAGTTCGAAGAGATAAGACGGGAAAAATTTTGACATTTATAATGATGATGGGGTATTCGCCGAACTTTAAAATTATTATTAGGATTACACCCTTCTAGCCCTCATAAAAATATTCGTAATGCACTCACAATGCTAAGTTTAATGGAATGTAACATGTAATACAGCCACATTACCCACGTGATTATTTTAACCAAAAGTAAAATTCTGAAATTTAAAATCAGTATAATTGCTCCGGATTGAGATGCACATTATGCATATTAAAATAAATACGAAACGAAGCTTCTCTGATCCATAGCGTATTATAGAAAAACTTGGCGATATTTTAACCTGTAATTGTAAACTCTTTAACAATATGAGCAATAATATTAACAATCTTTAACATTATTAGCAATATAATCACCATTGTTCGGCTTCAATTTTATTTAATCAGCCGTAATTTGCCTTTGCACGCTCACCAAAACACGTTAAAAGCATTTCGAGTTTAACATGCCAAACTTTGAACTATACCATAATAACTAATAATATGCAGAAACAAATAATCTTTTAAATCTTCCTTCCTGTTCCTGAAGTCTGGTTTTTCCATCAGTTACGAAGTTAGCTGAATCTGGCTGTGTGTATGTTGAAAGGTCAATTTTTTAATGCACGTTACATACCAAACTTTGAACTATACCGTCACTCATGATAATATATAGAAATAATACCATAATCTTTTAAACCTTACTTCCTCTTCCTCTTCCTGACGTCTAGACCTTAATCAGTAACGAAATCAGCTGATTCTAGTTGAATGTGTGAGACAAATATATGTATATGGAAAAGGTTGACTTTTCTTATTTAAAGTATCGTCATCAAGGAGCATGAACATATGGAACGATGATATGTGGAAAATGGTATGTTGTCGGTATCACCTTCATGCAACAAGAGTAACTGCGTATAACCTAGAATTTTGTAACGCCTTTCTAACCCGCTCCATTACTTACTAAACCGGTTTAGTAATTTCATCCGCAGACGTAAAAAGCTAAAGTAGCTGTTGTCGAATTTTAGCCGATAATAACTGTTGTTTTCTTTCAAATTATTTAACATTTTAATTTGCTGTCATATTCTTTTATCGAAATTTCCCGAGAATGAGAAGTTCAGCTTTTCTAATCCAAGTTCTAATGACTTTCGAGCAAAACTGCCAAACTGTGAGGTGTACGAAATCAGTTCATATACGTGTTCAGAAAACCATTGAGTTAAAAAATATTGCCACAATTGTGTATGGACGACACGACAAGAAACCCAAAGGAGAGTGCCATGAGTGCCAAACATGAAACAAACCAATTTAATTGGCACAAAACAACTTGCCAACTGACAAAAAATGGAATAAAAAGCATGATGTGGTGTTCCGTGAACTTCATTGACCCATTGTTCAACGGTTTACCTTGGACTCTAATTAGACATGCTCTTCGAAAGTGAATGTTTGAAAGTTCAAGATTGCCAAAAGATTCCGAATTGGACGTGTAAATGACGGTGAGAAACGAACATCAGAATGTTCATATTGATTGAGGTGTTTAAGCGATAGACGTATAGACTCTTGTTAAGATGACAAATACATCGAACATAAATGTAAAAGGAAAACCTCTTCGTGAACCAACGATATACGATGATGAATACAAAGTGAAATGAGGGATTCCTGTAAAAAACATTAAAAGTGAAAAGCCTAAAGTTAAAAATAAATGTGATCAAAAACTGGGCCGGGAAAATCAATATATCTGAATTGTGCATCTTTGAAGAACGTTCCCCATGGAGCAGCCCAACGTTTATTATCATTGGCAATAAAATGCGGTCAACATGGTTATATGAAAACTCGCGCTGGAGAAAAAGACTCGATTTTCCAACTCAAAGTTTGACAGTTTTGTGAAAAAGTTTGATTTTGTTTGCGCTGTAAATAATGTCAATTTTTCCAATTCTAAATTCTTTATCAAAGCTGAAAAACTGTAGAGAATGTGATAGCAATTGATAATGACAAAAAACATCATTCAACTATATCCCAAATTCATACTGCAATTTCTTCGCAAATTAGATAATGGTTCGAAAAAAGGAAATACCGGTGAAATATTTCAACATATCATGGTACCAGCGATTACGAACTATTGCAATTACATCCATATATCAATCTATCAGTTTTCCATTGTTTCCTGCACGAAAAAATTTATATATCTGCAAACATTTACTGCATGCATGCACGACAAGGACTTTTAATAATAATTGATTTCTTTAATCATCTTGTATTGTAGTTGTCTAGAATAAAAAATATATTGTAAAAATTGAAATATGCCAAACGTTCTCAAATATTTATCGCTTACTTTTCAGGGGTCATATTGGGGGTGCAATGATATGTGCTAGAGCAGACCTCATAAAACCAAAAGTAACAAATTATACATATTTAATACAAAGTTCGTATTTTAGTATAACACAGAAAAGGTGGGGAGATAAAAACACCTACACCAAGAGAACTAGCTACATAGAAAATATCGTAGCTCGCAACCTATAGAAAAAGGGAGGATAAAAGTCGGATAAAAAATCCGGAACTTACTTCGACGACAAGCATGCACGTGCATCACTAGTGCCCTTGAACTTTTCATGTCGCTTTATGTAGTTATGATACACGCGAATTCAATTATACAATATTTCAGGTAGTTTATCAGAGCGCATTCACCCAACCAATCTGAGATGATGCATGATGTTATAAAACATCAACGAAAAATGAGTTAATATGTGCGTAAATAAACGCAGAAATCAATCTTCAATAAACAATTGACTGAGAAGTGAAAGTATACCTGTATACCAAAAATAAAACTACTAAAAAGTTTCGAGCAGAAAAATAAAAGAAATGATTATCGCAGACCCGGAGATGCGCCGTGAGAGGGTGCATGGTAACAGAGGGGACTTTTGTCGACGCGTTGTAAAAATATCGCACGCTCGTGGCATTTTCTACAAAAATTTTGTTTTTCGATATTTTCCTTGCAATTTTTAAGAATGTTGAAGTTTTCAGCATTGTGATTCACTGGTTTTCAGAAAGTCTTGAGATTTTCTTTGCTGGAAGTTGTGGAGTAACTTATCAAGAACTTAAAGAGTGCTTCAAAACAGAAACACTTGGTAATAAAACATATTTTGACGCGAGGAAGATGACATGACACTGCGTGCTTATAGAATTACCGTCAAAGTGGTAAATTTTCTTGTCCGTTGTTTTTGGCATCATAAATCACAGGATTTGTACACTTTGGTTTCGATAATTCGTCGAGTTTGAAAGAGCTTCGCCCGAGTTTAGTTGCCGTGCTAGATATAATTTAGGTAAGTTAACGTTTCCTTGTAATGCCAGCTACATTTCCATATCTTTAAATGTGTGGAATTTCTTTCTTTTTTAAATATTTGCGCCCATATTCTTTAGTGCATGTATCGAGTGTTTCAAATTATCGCTTCGATCGTGTAGGAGATTCAAAATTTTCATGCCTTTATCACCACTTTTTCGAGACCCTATTTTCATGGACGTTTTTCGTTGCAGCATATGCTTTTCGATTACTTGTTTGTATTGCAGGACGAACTCCAAGCGAACTAAGTTAAATGTCTATCTTTAAAATAATAGTAATAAGTATTGAAGCGTGCTGAATTTATTTCAGGCTTTCGTTCATAAACCACAAGTACGTTACCAAGTACTGCATCGCGTTTTGCAAAATAATTAGCCTATATCACCACAAAAATGTATGCTTGTTTTTATAGCAGAATATATTGTCTATTCATAAAACTAGTTTCTATACAATCAAAATTCGGAAAGAACGACTTAAAAAGAGTTAAATTGCACTTGCATGTTTGATTGGAAAAATATTCGAAGTTGTCGCAATACTAAGAATTCAGTCATTTGGCTTTTGACTTTCGCCTGGCATAGCAAAACTGCTCCCCGTGCACGTATTTGTTTATCAATGTTAAAACACCTGTTGAAAATTTTATCACCTTTTTTATATTGCAGTAACTTTTTTTATACAAGCAGTTTGTTTATTTACTAATTAATTGAGTTTTGAATTGAATTTCCCGCCAGAATTCACGCGAAAATCGCGCGCCTTTCCTATACCAGCGCATGCGCAGACAAATGTCCCCTCTGTTGTGCATGGTAATTCTGGTATTATCACATTCGGGTATTTTGACAGAACACCGCTGAATCTGTATGTCAATGAGAACGTCAGGAATTTAACTTTTATCTTTCTATTTTCTAAAAATGTTTTGTAAACTTTAATAAAAATATAAAATGTGATTATTAGTTCAAAGGATTTTTAGAAGAACAAGATGAAGTAAAGAGGAGCGATTCATAATATATATGGTTTGACTTGTTTAAAAAGGTAGGTGTCAATCTTGTTTATTATCGAGTAAAGGAACGATTCATAATTTATATGGTTTGACTTGTTTAAAGAGTAGTTGTCAATCTTGTTTATATTGCTGTAGATAACGATGTTGTTTATTTGAAAAACTGGTAAATAGTTTTTGACTCGTTTAATTACAATTATTTTTTTAGAATGACGTCATCTACAACGTCTGGCATCCCGGTGTGAGACAAAAACAAGCACGATCTTACTATAGTGGACCAGCAACTGCGTTACCGATCTTATACAAATCGTTAAAAGCTCGAAAGCTTTCAGATTTTGACTTGATAAAATAGTCGCCCACATGCATTCTTGAGAAGCTTTACATTAATCGGGCTTTTATGTACAACAATAGAGAAGACAATGTCTTTCTAATCGTTTGCATTTACTGCTATATTTGCGGTCAAGAATTGCTTGTAACTTGCTTCCGAAATCAAAAGTAAAAACCCGAAATGGTGATAACCTCGGTACAAATAATGCAAGTTTACCAAGGTCCCACAGCCACCTTAATAATAAATTGTTGAATGCATATTTTAACATAGAGATATCAGGCATCTAAGTTTGACTAGAAGACTGAATTTTTTA